GCATATAGAGGGGCGGCCGAAGACTTAATAGTCCCACTTTAGTTGGGTCGGTGGCCTCTTTAGGCTTGTAAATAAAGGTTGTGTCATGTGGACACTTGCGAGAGATTTTCGGTCTGTAATGGACCATTTTACCCTTTGTTGTGCCACTGTTCAGAGCTTGTAAAGTCTGTTTGTAATTTGCATTGTCTATGAAGTGTTTTTCGGAGATGTTTGCTTGTGGATCCCGATTGAGGCGTTCTCTCTAACCCGTTCTCCCTTTTGGTGGTCCTAAGGGACAATGGGAGGCTTCGGGGAGGCTGACCTTTGCGGACGGACACGCAAGGGTGCTGCACGACTTAGGCAAAACCAGCTAAGTCCGTGTCAATACGGCGCCGTCCCGAGCTTTTCGGGACGGGACTTGCCGAGGGGGTGCCTCCCTGTACGGGTCTTGGATGCGATGCTGACTTGGTAAGTGCGTGATGCGATGCGGACCGTGACGTGGCTGGAATCCAAAATATGCCTCATCACTGGTCATGCTTCGAACAAAGCATATGGTTGCAGTTTTAGATCTCAGTACTTCACTAATGGGCGAGTAAATGGTTAAAGATCTCATTACTTTATTCATCCTATACAATCTTATTTGACGCATTCTAATTGGAATTTGATAACTCTGTTGGTAATTTACTGTTCACAATTCTTAGCTTCTGCTTGTAATTTTTGTTCTGGCATTGCCTATAGTGGGTTAACATCTAGTGAATTTAACAACATTCTTCTGGAAACAGTGGATTTGTGGAGTTTGAGAGTGACCATGAAAATGTCGGATGGAAAGGGATTGAGCTACAGTTTGCGTACATAGAAATATCTCCTTGCAGTATATTTTTCTTGTTCCTCAAATTCTAAGAATATATAACTTACCGACATCTTGGATTTTGTCCCTTTGGGTCTAATCTGAGCTGCAACTGGTGGCTTTATATGTTGGATGTTGATGGTTGTTATCCAATGTCAAAAAGACCCTTTTCATAGTAACATGTGTTTTAAGAACTAGATCATAGTAACTTGTGTTTTAAGAACTAGATATTAAGACGCAGCCCCTGTTAAAACTTTACTAATCATATATTCGGATGTTATATTTTAACCTTTTTATGGTATTGAGCTATGGATCAAATTTGAAATAGTAATAATTCTTTTATAATTTTAAAAATATCTTCTGTAATTGAGAATTGAACACTATGACTCATCAAAATTTTTGTATTCCAAGTGAACTCAGATCAACAAGCTGGCCTCATCTTAATGCAGCCATAAGTCTTGTGGTGACATAAAAATTGTCATTAGTTCATATTAGAGAAATAGACTACTAGCTGAAGCAATCTCTTTGGCTGCAAGACACACAAGTTCATATCGGATTTATGATGTTCCAAATAAAACTTGAATTTCTTGTGGTCAAATTATGGAGAAATGTAAATAATTTTCTTGTCATTTTATGGAGTTTGAAGTATGTTCGCTTATCAGTTGGATATGTACTGCTAGTACATGGTCGTGATGCTTAAAATGTTACTGTCGAAATAGACTGGAACATTTGAAGTTCTTGAGAATATCGTAAAATCTTGTTTGATCATTGACTGCTTGCCTCATGAGATATCCACCTTATGCCGCATAGGAAGGTACATGTTTCATTCAGCATGATGGGGACTCTTTATGTTTGTTATGTCTTCTGTGTGATGATATTATTAAAGCACATTAATCTCATTACAAATTAGTATTATTCATTCTTTCTTTTCTATTTTAACCGTGCTAACGTTTGCAACCTTGCTTGCTGCATCTGCTATTTGTGCAATTCTTTAAATAGTTTCGCTTATCACCAGATGATCTTATGTTCTTTGTGTTTCCAATCTGATGAATTTTTTGCTGATGATATTTACGAGTACAGGTACAGAGCCGTCACCAGTGCATACTATAGAGGTGCAGTTGGGGCGTTAATGGTTTACGATATCACGAGACGTCAAAGCTTCGACCACATTTCTCGGTGGCTCGAGGAGCTGCGGAGCCATGCCGACAGGAACATTGTGATCATGTTGGTAGGCAACAAGACCGATCTCGAGGACCAGAGAGCAGTGACCACCGAAGACGCCCGCGAGTTTGCTCAAAAGGAAAACCTATTCTTCCTGGAAACATCAGCACTGGAGGCCACCAATGTGGAGAACGCGTTCCAAATGGTGCTCACCGAGATCTTCAACATTGTCAACAAGAAGAACCTGACTTCTGATCCCCAGAGCAATAACAGTGCACCAGCACTGCCTGGGAAGAAGGTCATCATCCCTGGCCCAGCTCAGGAGATACCAAAGAGTAAGACATGCTGTAAGACTTCCTAAGCCTTGCTCGCCTTCGGTCTCGAGTCATTTGAGCTGTGTCACAGTAATAACAATGTTTCTTTTAGTGGCAAAATGTTTTGTAGGGGAACAGCTTTATAAACTTTGAAGCATCAATTCGATCTATGTCGTCTGAATTGTTTTCAAACCATGATCTTCAACATTGTCAACAAGGCAGGTGAAAAAAAAAAATATTTCAAGGCCGTAAATTCTTAGGTCCGATATCCAAAATTGCAACAATCATCAAGGGAATTCGAGAAAAGTCTAACTAAATCAAAGAAATTAAGCAATCAGTCTATTGTCTAAAACAGTAAGATGAACTTAAGATAGTTCTTTAGCGACAAAATATGATTTAAGCTGCAACAGATGGCTTTGAGGCCGCGGAAAGCTTAGACCTCCTCTTGGCCACACTCTCGCTCCTGCGCTCCCTCTGCTCCTTGAGTCTGGTAGCAAGGAGCTTCTGGTACTCAGCTGCTTCTGACTTGGCCTTTGTAATTCTCTTCTTCTTCTCTGCAATCCTTGAGCGCTTCCTCTGCAACGTTAATGGAGTCACAAGTCTCTGAATCTTGGGTGCCTTGCTGCACTTTTTGCCTGCAAACAGCATCCGAAACCTGAATTAGAAATGTGCTAACAACAAAACATCCGCTTAACCTATGTATCATCTATATGTCATAGAGACTGGGATATTAAACTGCACCTGATTTTGTTGTGAAGGTTCGGCGGTATGTGTTGACATACTTGCGGACATCATCCTCCTTGGAAAGGTTGAATAGCTTGCGGATTTTAGAGGCTCTCTTAGGCCCCCTCATCCTAGGCTTCTCAATGTCGGTCAACCCTGGAAGATCATTTTCACCCTTCTTAACAATAACCAAGTTCAAGACCGAGAGATCAGGGCTAACAATGCAACCACGAACAGACTTCCTCCTGCGCTCTCCATTGCGCCTGCCATACCCACGGAAGCAAGGTGTGCCTGTGACGAGATAACCAAAATCAGAAAACAAGATATAGAATAATTCAAGCGACAGCATACAGATCAAAACAACATTTTGTTACCTCTGTGCAGAAGCAGGCGGACGCGTCCAGGAGTTAGCACTCCCTGCTTCATGGGAAAACCTTGTTTGTCACATCCTCCCATAATTTTGAAAACATAGCCTTTGAATTCCTGAAAATAAAAAATGAATAAGCTCAATTTTTTTTGTATCTCATAACATTCCCTATGATGTTAAATTTGGTAGGAATAGAGTGTTTGCCAACATTCATCAAGAAATTTTGTGGCTGGAACATACCTCACCAAGTGCATCGCCACTGACTTCCTGAGAAATTCTCTTGTCAAAGAAAGCTCGGCTGGACAATAAGTTTTATAAAAACTGTGAGTACATTTTTATAATAGCATCTACAACAATATTAGGAAATAGTCTCTATCATATGCCCATCAAGTAATAACACAACTATTTGTAACCTTGATCAAAGGAAACTAGGTAACATTAGTGACTGCTAGTCTTCTATCAAAAATAAACAATGCCAAGATAGTAGAGAAATAGTGAAAGTGAAGATAAGATCATTATCATATATCAAATCAAAGAAAGGCCAAGCAAGACTTTCATAATTCCGTCCAAACCCCATGATGTTTTCACTTACAAAGAACTTTAAATACTTTCAAAATTCAAATTAACAAATGGGCAGCACTAGACAATACAAAAGACTGTCGAGAAAATTCAAGTTATAAGAAAAAGATTAAAAGCTACTCAGAGTTGTCAAAAGAACTATGCTGACAACAAAAGAAGAGATATTAAATTCCAAGTAGGAGATTTTGTATTCTCGTAGGTCTCTCCTTCTAAGGGAGTGGTAAGATTTACGAAGAAAGGAAAATTAAATCTACGATTTGTTGGACCTTTTGAGGTCATCGAGAGAATTGGTTCCGTTACTTATAGGATTGCTTTACCACCATCCTTATGTCATATTCATGATAGATTTCATGTTTCAATTATTAAAAAGTATATATCGAATCCCTCTCATATTATTAAGTATAAGTCAATTGTGATCGATAAGGACTTGTCTTATGTAGAAGAGCACACTCAAATTATTGATAAGAAATAAATGATCCTAAAAAATAGAATCGTACCTCTAGTTAAGCTAATTTAGAAGCATCATTATATTAATGAAACTACTTGGGAGATAGAGAAGGAAATAAAAAAAGTTTATTCTCATCTTTTCATCGATTACGATATAACAATTTAAAGCACACTCAGATTAAAGCTAATTTGGAAGCATCATTATATTAATGAAACTACTAGGGAGATAGAGAAGGAAATGAAAAAAGTTTATCCTCGTCTTTTCATCGATTACGATATAACAATTTAAAGGACTAAAATTTTCTTTTAAAGAGAGGAGAGTGTAATATCCCTTATTTTTTAATTGTTTATAAAGACCTATTTGTAAACACAGATAATAACAATGATTAAATTGCGAAAGGTATCAAAATTAATAATAATAAAAAGGGGTTTCTTCCCACTACCTCTTAGATACCTACCTTCTGCATGAAGGAACCAAAGGAGGCTGTGTTTGGTGGAAGAGAAGGGAGAAGGGAGAAGAAGGAAAAAAAATAGAAAGTTGATTTGGCTTGAAGTTTTTAGATCAATTCCTCTTATTCGGGATCATATTCTTCTCAGGTAAGTGTTCTAGCCCTTTCCTAAAGTAATTTTTATCTCGGATTTTATCTAGATTATGAGTATTTTGAAGGGTTTTATCCTTGCAAATGACATCGACCTCGTTGAGCTATAAAATTGTTAATTTGGAATGGTCGAGATTCTGACCTATCTATCCTGTTTTAACTATAACTTTTTGTACTGAATTCTGATTTGGGTAAAACTTGATCTTTTTGGAAACTAGGCTCGTATATCTTTCTTTCAATACCTTACTTAAAATATTTAGAGTTCAAATCCTTGTCTAAATATATACAAAACTTACTTCATCTAAAACTAGACTCGTATATATTTCTTTTTGTACCTTGAAAGATTTGGAATACAAATGTTTGCATAAACATATGTTTTAATTGACCCCTCGAATTCTGTAAAACAAGGACAATACTTTTTGACCTCTCTATACTAGATTGCTTACAACTCCCTATTGAAAACTCTAATTTCTACAAAAAGTTGATTCATCTGAAAGTAAACTGATATATTTTTTAAATGATATCTTTCTTCCTCACAGAAACTACCAGAATAAAATTATTGCTAATTTTATCTATTCTTATTTCTATTTCTTTGAAATTGAATTCATCTATAATTTTTCCCTCAATTGAGCCTTATGTGATTGCTTTGAATACTGGTATCTCTTGTCATTGATTCTTATCATATCTGAATGCATTATGCAAAAGTTTATATTGCCTCATATTATTTCATATATGCCTCTCCTTCTCCGGGGACAGAATTCGTCGAGTTAAATCAGCAGAATAAGAAATCCCAAGTTTTTTGTTGATCAGGCGACACCCAGATTTGAACTGGGGATAAAGGATTTGCAGTCCCCCGCCTTACCACTTGGCCATGTCGCCAAACCAAATTCGATCCAAATAAGATAAAAAATAGATTTCTGGTCAAAGACTGAAAAATTCAGGGCAAATTGGAACCATTAACTATTTGTTTTGTTGTTTTGAATTAGCGAAAGGTTCTTCAATTTGTATCTCAAATTGTTGCGTTTCCTTAATGGCATAACAAAATCAAATTGATTTATGACTAATCAATATCAATTATTTTTAATAATCAAACTTTTTCAATTTTAACGTATGTATGTTTTTGTTGTTTCACATATGCTTCCCATACATTGCTAAATTTCTTACTCACAATATCTTTTTGTACTCTGGTGTTTGTGGATTAATGTGAACCTTTGCCAGAAATATGAAAGATACTTATGTATAGAGCCTACAATACTATTGTCGGCCCCTTATGACTATCAGCCCCTAAATATTTTTATATCATTGATATGCTCCTAAATTCTTTTTACTCTATTATTATGAATAAAATATGTTTCTAATGAAATGACATTTATGATTCTTATATCTAATGAAATGACATTTATGAATTCTTATATTCCTGCCTTGCACCTTGACATTAAGGTCATATGAACTACCATCTCTCGTCGTAGATATGTTGGTCGCTTGTTGAGTTTGTAGCTCACCTTGTTGTTATATAAATTTTTCATGTTAGCTATTTACTCACTAAAATGTTAGGATTAAGGCTAAGGTAGTGAAATACTAAAAGATTTTGGTAAGTCTTTGATGATTGAAGTCTAAGGGGCCGACAAGAGTATCGTAGGCTCTATACATAACTTCCTTTTCTATGTCTAGCAAATGTTCATATTATCCCACAAACATTGGAGTATAAAAGGACATTGTGAGCAAGAAATTTATCATGTATATAAAGCACATGTGAAACAACAAGAACTTTCATGTGTATATTTAAAGCAATATGATACAAACATAAACTTTTGCAAAATACATTCAAATATAATATGAATCAATTACAAGAGCTACAAGGGTTTAAAACAATCACATAAGGCTCAATTGAGGGAAAAATTCTAAATAAATTCAAATTCAAAGAGATAAAAATAAGAATATGTAGAATTGATAATAATTCCAAGAATTTTAATTTCAAATAATACCGCCCGCACCAAGCGGTACGTATCGATCCGTCAACAGACCAGTACGCGAACCGCCCACTTTCGGGCGGTAACGTTGATTGGGGTTGTTTCCACTTCGTTATCACCCTATATCAACCGTCACCACCCGCTACCGAATGGTATTAGTAGAGGGAGAAGAAAGAAGAGAGAAGAAAAGAGAAAACCTGAAGATCCAACACCGCTCCCTCAATGATCTTGATCCGTCGTTGCCCTCCCTCACCGGATGCTGCAGATGATGTCATCTCCTCGTTTGAGGCGACAAGGCCTCGACGTCATCGACAACTTCTCCTCATCAGCGAGGGGAGAGAAGAAGCCTCGATGATGTCTCGACGACGTCACGGGGAGAAGCGGTTTCTTCTCCCCACGCAGGCAAAAGAAACGAGGCTTTTTTTTTTACTTTTTTGCGCGGGGAGAAGGAACCCTCGATTTCTTCTCCCCACGCAGGCAGAAATCGAGCGACGTTGCCTTTCTCTTTTTTTTTTTCTGTGCGGGGAGAAGGAACCCTTGGTTTCTTCTCCACACGCGGGCAGAAACTGACCGACGTTGCTGAGATGTTGCCTTTCTTTTTTTTTCGTGTGAGAAGGAAACCTCCTCGTCACGTGAGCAAAGCGTGAGTATCGAGGCAACGTAGTTTTATATATATATATATATATACACACTGTGCGATATATCGAAATGTACCATTCGGTATAGTTATACCGTACCGTACCGAGCTAAGTTCGAAACTCCGATACGATACAAAATTATGAATCTTGAATAATTATGTTCTAGCATATTCAATGAGGGATATTACACAAATTATTAGGATAATCAATTATGCTTTAATTTACTCAAGAAAGATATCATTAGAAAGATATATAAATCTATTTTAAGATGAATCAAATTTCATACAAATTAAAGTTTCCCACATAAATTATTAATTAATTAAAAATTTTAATTAATTATTATTATTATTTAGTAGTTCTACATGATGATGATGTGTACATGTGATGTATGATGTGAACGAATGATCATGGACCGTGTAATGTGTGTATATGTGATGTGATTATTATTATTATTAAGGCCTACGTGTCTCTATTTTTCTCGTTTATTGTCGAGCGTGCATGCCTATGATTAAGTTGTAATCACACAGAAAGGCACAGCGAGAGCGTGGAAGCGATAGCAAAACCCACGAGACGAACGATCGCGATGTATGGAGATGCATCGAGATGCCGACAGAATCGACAAGGATGAGATAGAAGATCATAGGGTATGAAGATGCACTACTGCACACATAGATCTTGATGTGAGTGCTTAGGCCCATTGGCTCGGGCCTGATCACATTAAGCTGTGGTCCATGATCATCTAGTGTGATTGCTCATGTGATGTGTGATTACTTGTACACCTACTAGATATATATATATTTGCATGCGATGTAGATATATATTAAATATGTATGTGTGTGACGTCATATTAGGAGATCAAATCAAAATCCTCTCTCTCGATAATATTAAGTTAGTAAACGTGAGGCAATTAGATTGACCCACGTGACCTTCCATCGTTATAGGTAGGGACCGATTCTCGACGTAGATTGAGTTGGTCGAGCCCTCCAAGCTCACCTATATCGCGATTCGCTATCTTGCCTACAACATAGAGATGTCACCGGTGACCTGAGGACATGGTATGGTTGG